GGTGGTGGTGGTGGTGGTGGTGGTGGTGGTGGTGGTGGTGGTGGTGGTGGTGGTGGTGGTGGTGGTGGTGGTGGTGATTCAAGTGTCGACAAATTTTGTGCTGGCAACCGTCTTTCCAGTTAGACGCTGGACACGCGTGAGGACATGAGGGTCCACGTTGCGCTGTGTTAACTTACCCTTCTCTCGTTGGTGCAGGTGAATTCATTCCGATTCTGTGACGTGCTTCTGAGTAAACTCATGTTTTCATGCCCTGAAATCAAAGCTGTTTCTCACACATTTGCTACGACACTGTCACAAATATGAAGCGGAGGATCAAGGCAGTAATGCGGCGTTCCTAGGAGTTAGGTGCTTTTATGAAGTCATCCAAATGTGGACCAGCCCAACAAGATCGCACCGGAAGTTTACACCTCAAACAAGTTTGGTGATCTGACATTGCTGCGGTCCCTGCATGCTTTTCATTGCGATTACAATTGATCTATGTCAATGGACAGATCAGGGGAATTGAGAGGATATCAAATGCACGTGTGGCTTTCCTACTTGGTACGGTAGATCACTTAAAACACCATAAACCGTTTTCTCTTGTTTAAGGGAGTTGCATTGCAGTATCTAGTCGCTTCTTGATGTCTTTAGACTCCAGACATTTCTGTATGAGTCAAATTCGATAAAAAAACAGTAGTTTTGTCAATTGATAATTCCAAGCGCCCTAATTTGATGTCGCGGAATTACCAGATTTTGGAGTCTGGGTGTTAGGTGTAAGGTGAAGAATGTATTCAACCGTCAAGGAAAGTTATAAGTTGGGAAGACGTCATGAGCCAAATTCGAACTCAAACGGACTGAGTTGCGACAATTTATGTGTCCTTGAAGGTACCTCTGTGGCACCAGAACCATGTAATTTGACCAGCAAGGATTGTAGACGTTGTGGGTGACAGTGTGTTGGAGAGACGCGGAGTCAAATGAGGATGACGAATTTCCATATTGTAATGATCTGTGAGTTCCACGAACGAAAGTAGTAGATAGTTTCGGTGTGCAATAAATGTGGAAGTCATAGACAGGGCAATAAAAATTCAAAGAACAACCGTATTCGTTGTGTTTTGGATTCGTCGTCAACGTGGTCAGCGGGTCACAGGTGAGGTAGCTCATGTCAAATACTATTTCGCCATCGATTTCATACCTTCTTGGACAAATATGGAATGTACTGAAACAACGAAGGCGGCCATCTAAAGCCAATCCAACTCTATCTTGGCTCCACGCAGCACACGTTTGGCTGTTGACAGTTGAGTCGTGAGTAACCTCGTGTATTTCATCTTAGTTTACAGGGTGTCGCGGATTACGAGTTGGCATTTCCACGCGCAGAAGCACACTTGACTGATGCATCCGCTTCTACTGCAGGTTATGGCGAATT